ATCCAGATGCTTGACTGCAGTCTTAACTGACTAGTGGAGCCACATTCATGTGGGCTGACATCTGCTTGTAGAAGTTATTTATAAAGAAAAGATCATTGTAATCAGAACAGCTAGAGAGATTTTTTTAATAAAAGATTTTATTGGGGAATTGAGGGAGGGAACAGCGTTGGGGAATCGGGGAAGGGGAACAGACAAGTTGCTGTCCTTTTGTTCTTCAGGCTAGTTGTGGAGGACGTCACTTCACTGGCCCATGTTGGTATTGTGATCATTGCGCTCTTCCTGGCTGAGGCAGATCGGTCGCCGGCCATTGGACGGCCAGTCACTGTGGCTCACGGCAGCTCACGCCAGCTGCTGGCCAGCCCAATTGCAGCCTACACCGCCGCCAGCGACTCATGGCAGCCCAGCTCCAGGTCGAACTGTTGTTCACCATCATGTATAGGGTGCAGCGTCACTGGCCTATGTGGGAACCGAACTGGCGTTCCTGCTGCTCAGAGCTTACGCTCCCAAGCCAACTCTTAACCAATGAGCCACTTTGCCGGCCCTAGAGAGATTTTTAAGTACCAGAGGTACTGCACAGAATTCATCTAGGGTGAGCGGCACTGTAGGAGGGATCATCTACTTCTCTAAACACTCGTATGTCTGAGTGTATTTTTCCTGTGTGTGAATAGTACTTTCACATAGCATGCTATAACCAAAATACTTGAAATAAACATAGACTTTTGAAGGCTTGAACATTATTAATAGGACTATAAAACTACCAAAACAACACATTAATAAACCAAAAAATTTAACAAGACAATATATAAAGAGTTTGGAAGTCTGTGCTCCTGTCTTCACAATAAGAAAATTAGCTCAACAAACTGGAGATCAATAACTCTTTTTAGATACATCAGAGAACTGAGGTCACAGGGTAGATGGCCACCCTGAGAAAGGGAGAGAGAAGTAGATACCAAGAATCAGTTCACCAGAAGCAGAAGTGAAGGAGCAGCGCCCCCCACCCCCACCCGAGTGGCAGAGTCCTTAAACTACAAAAGGTGAGTTGCTGGAGGCTTGGCTTACACTAGCTTGAGACTGAAAAACTCCCAGGGCCCAATATTGGGGTGGGGGTGGGGTCCTCTATGCTTTCACGAATTCCAATTCATTTTTAACACAAATGCCCAATTAGCAGATAGGGAAATGAATACTGAGGGAAGTTAAGTCGCTTGTTTATGTCAGGGAGCTGGTGAGTGGCAGAGCTTGTGTCCTGAGCTGTGCCTTAACCCTGGTGCTCGGCTGCCTCCCTAGGCTCAGGTCTCTGCTCTCTAGTGTCCTGTTTTTTGGCATCTTTTTGAGATTGGTTATACTGGGTCTCTTAAATATTGGGTTGTCGGAAAAGTCATGACACATTTTTACAACGAAAAACAGAAAAACTACATCATGATTTTTTCGACGACCCAATAGATAATTCAGTCATGAGAGACGAGATAACCAGTCAATCAGTGTACCACTTTTCAGAGCTCCTTGTGATTTCATTTCTCTGCAGTCCCCTAAGTCCTTCCCTGCAGAAAGACGCAGGACACAGTCTCCCCAGTATAAATGTACCTCAAAAGCGTGGAAGAGCAGTAAAGATTTGGAGAGTGCTGGCAGCNATGCAGCAAAAGGAGTCATGAGAATATCAAAGCAACGGCCATGTGTTCTGGAAGATGTAGAAAAGTTGCTTCTGGTTTGGATAAACGAGAAGCAACTAGCAGGTGATACTGTGACTGAGAACTTGATCTGCGAGAAGGCAAAGGCCTTGTACACCGACCTCGTAAGTAAACTGCCAGGTACGTCAACAGAAAATGAAGATGGCTTCAAGGCAAGCAGGGGATGGTTTGATAACTGTAAGAGTAGAAGTGGCATCCATAGTGTTGTGAGGCACGAAGAGTCTGTGAGTTTAGATGCTAAGGCAGCTGAGACGTTCGCTACCAAGTTTCAGAAGCTCATGGTTTCTGAGTGTTACCTGCTGGAGGAAGTTTTTAACTGCGACGAGACAGGGCTTTTTTGGAAAACGATGCCAAAGAGGACCTACATTATAGAAGAAGAAAATGCAATGCCCGGTCACAAACCCATGCAAGACCGTCTCACCCTCTTGTTTTGTGCTAATGCAAGCAGGGATTTCAAAGTCAAGCCCCTGCTCGTGTATCATTCTGAGAATCCACGAGCCTTCAAGAAATACGAGGTGCAGAAGAGCCAGTTAAACGTTATATGGAGCTCCAACAGCAAGGCTTGGGTCACTTGTATCTTGTTTGTTGAGTGGATCAACGAGGTCTTTGGTCCTGCAGTGAAGAAACACCTTTTAGAAGAGAATCTGCCACTCAAAGCCTTGCTAGTTATGGATAATGCTCCTGCTCATCCTCCAGGCTTTGAGGACGACTTACTGGAGGAATTCGAGTTCGTTAAGGTCAAGCTTCTTCCTCCCAACACCACTCCAATCCTCCAGCCCATCAATCAGCAGGTCATTTTGAACTTTAAAAAGCTTTACACCAAAGCACTATTTCAGCAATGCTTCAAGGTGACCGAAGGGACAAACCTTACTCTCCAAAAGTTTTGAACAATCATTTCCACATCGTGAACTCAAGATCATTGATAAAGCCTGGGATGGGGTCACCAAGAGAACCCTCAATTCTGCTTGGAGAAAACTGTGGCCTGATTGCGTTCTTGGACATGACTTAGAGGGGCTTGCTCATGAACAGGAGCTGCCAGTTGTCGATGAAATTGAGTCCTTGGGGAAGATCATTGGACTGGAGGTGAATGAGGACGACATTCAAGAGCTGGTGGAGGAACATGGCCAGGAGCTGACCCCCGACCAACTGATGGATCTGCACCGCGAGCAACAGCAAGAGGTTACAGAGGAGAGCTCATCTGCAGAGGAGGAGGAGAAAAAGGCAGAGGACTCCCTCACTTCAAATGAGATTAGGGAGATGTGTAAAATGTAGGAAACAGTGTGAGCGATGAATCTGTTTAATGACAACGCAATGTCACATTTCCGCAAAATCCTCAAAAGGAGGCAAAGCAAGTGTCATTGGTTAGGTTCCTTGCTAAAGTAGCATGAAAAAAAAAAAGATTCCATTGAGCCAATAGATAGCAGTGATTCTGTTATAGTGACAACAGAATCTCTCTTGTCTCCCTCACACCAGCCACGAAGGTTTTCAAAGGTAAGTGCAGGTGAATTTGTTTATTTTTCTTTGTATTTTCTTTATTATTTGGTCTTATATTACAATATTGTAATCATTTTTATATGAATATTTTTGGGTTGTGGAACAAATCGTCTGAGTTTCCATTATTTCTTATGGGGAAATTTGCTTTGATATACAAGTGCTTTGGATTACAAGCATGTGTCCGGAATGAGCTATGCTTGCAAACCAAGGTTTTCCTGTACTCAGTATCCCAAAGAGGCATATTTTGGGGTGGCAAACTTCAAACCCCTTATGAATTTACACACTTTAGGTTTGTTTGGGGTAAAAGTTCATTTAAATAACCTTCCATGCATCATAGGATTTCTGACTGTTATGGGTTTTATGCAGTGCACATGCATTCATCTACAAACCAAATTTAGGTCCATAAAGCTCTGACTTCTAATGAGCTTTTTAGATATTTGCAGTGTCTGAAACTTTTAGATAATTGAGAAACAAGCAAATAACTTGGGACCATCTTCTGGAAGCAATTCAAATTATGAATGAAGCTGTAATCCTTCTGAACGCTTCTTAATTCAAAAGGATAGCGGTTTCATTCACAGTGTTCATTTATCCCCAGAAATTAAAGTATAAAAATTTCAATAACAGTTTCTTCTGGGCTTTGCTTACTATTGATCTATAATAAGTCTTATAGCTTTTGTGTAGTTTTTGTGTGTTTTGGAAGACTTTTTTTAAAAATACTTTCTCACTTAGGCTTTATGAAAGCTCTGGGAAGTAGACTGGGAATTCTCTTTATTATCTGAGGACTTATTATTGTTTGACATTTGAGGACAATATTGTCAACTTAGAAAATATGTTCACAATGATATAGAATATTAGAGTAAGACCGCAGGAAGTACCAAGGAAATGTCAAACTTAAAGATTTAGCTCATTTCCATAGCTGCCTGGAATGTACTCATTGAGGAGAGTTTTGAAAATTTGGGTTATTCCCGCGATGTGCTATATAAAGTGTCGGGCTTTTTCTTCTTGCCTGCTGTTCTAGGCTGTTACTTCCTAAAGACCCATCTCTCAGATTTTCAAGACCGTAGTGCCAGCTATTGATTTATCAATTTTAAGACATCTAACCTGGACTCGAATAAAAAGTCAAATGCCTACCTAGTATGTGCGAGTGTGGTGAATGCTAGAGACCATACTGAACAGGGAAGTCACAGCCCCTTTCCTCAGGAGCTTCCGTCTGGTGCTTCCTCCTGGGGATGTGTGGTCACCAAGGAGCTCGTGTTCCTGCTGCCAGAGAACTTGGTGTTTAACGGTGGCTACTATCAGGTCAATAGGCAGACCCAGCACCTGTATTCAGTGGCATATTAGGGGAAGTTCAAGTTGCCAGAGAGCGCATAGGCGTGGCCTCTAACCCAGATTTTAGGATTCAGGGTGGGGGAGTGTGAGTGTGTGTGTGTGTGTGTGTGTGTGTGTGTGTGTGTGTGNCTTTTATTATTGAATGGGAAACCATTTGCTCAACAGTATTTATTGAAAATACTGTTGATACATAATAATTAACACAAACTTAGTGGCTTAATTCAACACCCATTTGTTGTCTCACAGTTTCCATAGCTATAGCCCGATGGGATTTTTCTATAGGATCTTTCAAGAATGAAATCAGGGTGCTAGTTGGGCTACGTTCTCATCTGGAACTTGGGATCTTCATTCGAACTCATGTGGTTTTTGGCAGAATTCAGTTATTTGGAATATGGTAGGGGGGTCCTATGCTTCCAGAGGCCTCCTACTGTCATCCCCTGCCACATGGCACCTGCCAGAGATAGTTCACATCTTATCTCTTTGCTGTTTCAGGGCCAGTGGGAAAATCTCTGATGCTTTCAGTCCTGAGCCCAGGGAAAACCTAAGTCTGCTTTTAAAGGGCTCCTTTGATTGGGCCAGATCCACCCAAGATAATCTCCCTTTGATGAACTCAAAATCAACCGATTATGGACCTTAATTGCATCTGTAAAATCCTTTCACCTTTGGCATATAACATAACACAATCATGGAACTGGTAAGTCCTTTCTATACTCAAGGGGAAGTGATTACACAAGGATGCGGGTCGTTGGGGGTCATCTCATGTTAGGACATTTAAGAAGCTGAGGATACAGTAAGTTTTTAAAGGATCATTCTTACAACTGTGAGGAAAGTAGGCTATAGGGAACAAGGATGGAAACAGGAAGACCAGTGGAAGCAATTGTAAAATTTCAAGTGAGATATTGGTGGCTTAGATCTGGGTAGCAGGGGAAATAGGTAAAGAGCTTGGAATCAAGATTGTTTTGAAGGTAGAGCTAACAAAATTTGCCTGTGGGTTCAATACGGAGTGTGAGAAAAAGAAATCAAAGATGACTTCAGGCTTAGTGACGTAAGCCACTAGAACAGGGGTCGGCAAACTTTTGAGACGGAAGAGCCGCCAGGGGTCGGCAAACTGCGGCTTGCGAGCCACATGNCATCCTGCCACCTGTTGGCAGCTCAGTGGCAGCTCAGCTTGGGCTGGGACTTGAACCGCTGTTGCTCAGAGCTCAAACTCTTGAGCGAGCTCTTAACCACCTGAGCCACTGGGCCAGGCCGGCCCCCAAACCCATGCTTTTTCTGGAGTATGCTGCTATCTCTGGTTTGAAATGACTGAATTGCAGCTATCAACAAGACTGTAAAACATGAAATGGTGAAACTGTTGTGTGTTTTGATTTACTTATTTTGAGCACCATGATTATATTAGGTAGGTATTTTCAAGACAGTTCTAGAGTGAATCCAGAAAAATATGTAAGGAACGCCCTGCCTGGATATGTTCTGAGCCTTTTTTTAGAAGATAGATATATAATTACCTAAAGCAGAAGAGGGTGCCTTTCTGAACTGCTGGTGTCTGTTTATAACTGATTTTAGAAATCTTTTGTGGCAACTGTTACTTGTGAAACTGCTATTTGTCTGTTGCTATGCTTTTCTTGTTTGACTGGCCTACTGGTAATCTGAGCAATCCCTAGCCAGGTGTTAGACCAACAATACACCACCTCAGTGTCTGTGTTTTGACTTTGACCTCAGGCTTTGCTCATGTTTGGAGGTACACCATCTACTGTATTTCCCCTGTTCCTTTCGGGCTCTCCAGGCTTGACGCATCATTGAATATGCGTTTGGAGCCTCACCTCTTTCATGAATGAATTCCCGGTCATTCTCACATTTGCTGTTTCTCCTGTACCACTTTGGGACTTTATGGCTGTCCTCCTGTTGATCATGTGCTCTTTTATAATGTATTTCTGTATTTCATTATGAATACTCTGGTGCTCCAGCTTCATATTATTAAACTCTTTGATGTCATGGATGGTGATTTAAACAACAGTATTTTGCACAAAATAGGACTTAAAAAAATCTTCTTATTTTAGTAAAACTCTTTGGCAGTATGGAGGTAAAGTGGTTTGATCATGCATGGTGTTACAAAGAGTGCCGGGAGCTGACTCTCATTTGTTGCTGGGACTCAGTGGTGGGCTTGTAACTGTATACTCCTGCCAGGGAGGTCCATTTGGTCATATATGTTCAAGTGTGAAATGCATAAAGTACCTGATATTGCAAGTCAGCTTTTTAGAGATTATTCTAAAAATGCTGGTATGTATATGGAAATGTGTATGAGGTTTTTTTTTATAGATTCATATTAACAAAATATTGGGAAAACTTTAAATATTAATCAATAGGGAAATGGCTAAATACATTGTGGAGCTTTCATACGATGGAATGCTCTGTCATTGAAAAGAATGAGGTAGAGCTATGTGCTCAACTAGACCTTTATGGAATAACATTAATGTAAATTCTTAACTGACAAGAATAAGGTGCAGAACGGAATGCTAACATTTGTTTAAAAATTAAGTCTGTCACAGAGGGGTGTGTTGTGCTTACACACATAGAATTGCATAGCATAGTGTAGAAACATGCCTGTGGGAGGTACAGCAGGCAGTGGAAGTTTACGTTTCACTGTTGACCTTTTTTATAACATTTGAATTTTAGTATCATATACATGATTTATCTGAAAAATATTAAATTAATTTTTAAAAGTCTGATAATACAGATTGAAAATCCCCAAATCTATTGATTTGGCAATGCTAGATGAAATAATGTGTGTAAAGAGCTTAGCAGAGTTCCAGATGTCATAACGAGTATTCGGTAAATTGCATGAGTGGTGATCATTGTGGACATGTGGGGGGCTAGTAATGTTGATGTCAGAACTCACGTCAGTGAACCCCTGGGGGCAGAGAATGTTCCATCCCCTGCCTCACCCTAAACTACATCTTAAAGATGTAGTCTAAAGTGTGATGAAATATTTTGTAGTTCTGGTGCTTTGTTTTAAAAATTATGAGTTTTTCTTTGTTCTCTTCTGTAATATTTCCCTATTTGTTTTTTTACATAAAATAATTGTGAATCACTTAATATCAGTTAAACAATTAAAAAAACTAATGTATGTCCCCAGGGGGAAACAAATTATTGAATCAAAATTTGCAGTGTTGACGGATGAGCCGTGTCTGTCGTGTGGCGATGTGGAATTCTTGTCCATTGTCACTTGGCTCCAGATGTATATAAGCTGTATTTCAAGAAGCAAGTTTTTCTATCTATAAATTAAGGTTAGGATCTGATATTGGCTTTTTTTTTTCCATTTCAGAGTTTTAATAAGCGAGGCCACTTGAAATTCCTTAGAAAATCTGTTTGAGTTTTGTCATTATTGTTCAATAAATGAATAAATGCAGAGGTAGCATACAAAACATTTCAACCTACATCAGTGCTAACGTTTCTGAGAAACATTATTTTGGCTGTTCCTTCTCAAAGTGACCACTAAGAAAAACTAGAGAATGATATTGGCTTTTGATGGTTTCTATGACGATTTAATGATTTCAGTGAAGTAGGTGGAACTGAATTTGGCATCTAAGTCATGTGACTGTCTGTTGTCATTGGACTTGTGAGAGCATCAGTTCCGTGGCATGTGTGACCATACTGGAATAAGATGTAGTTGTCTGAAATTCCTACTTCCAAATCTGGGGTTTTTATTGCTTTAAGTGACTCATACATTTGCCAATTCTTTGTGTATTTCAGTTCTGTCCCCATCTGATCCTTCATGATGACCTAGGCCAGAAAGAGGAACAAGTGCTCTCCTGGAAACTGTAGAGAGGGGAAGTGGGAATAGCAAATGCCAGGAAAAGATCTAAGATTAACTAGCTGGTGTGGTGATGTTTCTTCTTCAGAGTAGTGAGGCGTGTGATGGACTGTATCTATAAAACTATGAAGAGATGTGTTTTTAATCTTTGGGTCTTGTACTTAATTTAAGTATTGAGTTATAACTTACCTAGAGACTGCTGGTTACTTTTTCCTATGAAAAAAGTTTTGGGGAAATTGACATATTTCCTTGGTAATGAATCAGTGATATCTGTTCATATTTTCGATATAACAATTACAATTTTAGGGAAACTTATTAACAGAGTAGTAGCCTAGAAAACTTATTTAAAACAAATTTTTAAATTGATTATTGTATATTTTGATCCTTTCTATTTTTCTCAGTGGAAATTTGGGGGTATTGGGAAAGAGAAATTCAGAGTTAAAAAATAATGGGTTTAGTGGTTCTAAAGTAAAATCCAACTTCTATGGATAATTGTTTTAATAAACATATTGGTTATATAGCCTAAAATAAAAGAGGTTGATTTTTTAAATTAGATTCAGCATATAATAAAAATTATCTTTATTTTCAAATAAATATTTAATTTAAAATAAAAATTATCTTTATTCTAAAATTATGCATGTAACTTTCTTATTAATTAACTTATTTTCATGGTGTGATGTTTTCTATCTCATGAATGACCCATAATAGAAAGCTGAAACCACTTACCAGATTTACTTTGGTGTGTTTACTTCCCACCTTTCTGTATCTTTACCTGGGTGCAGATATATGTCTTCCTTTTCTGCCCAGCAATCTTGTGCATAGCTTTTCAACTGTCCCACGTTTCTGAACTGTGCTGGCAGGACCTGTTCCCTAGATGCTTCTGCAGTAGTGAGTTGCCTTTCCCTCTGCTCCAAAATGCCTCCCTTCCCTTCTGCACCCTCCCCTCCCACCCCCCACATGCCCCATGTCTTGCCTCAGAAGTTCACCTCTTTGATGGGGTTGTCTCTGATCATCTCAGACACTAGATCCTGGAGTCCAGGGCACTTTATGGGTATTCTCTATGGTACTTACCACTCTATAGCTTATATTCTGTGTATTTGAGATATGTTTAAAGTTGGCCCCGTATTTCATTGCTAGGCTGTGTTTCCAATGAGTCCCTAGTGCTTGGCACAGCCCCATTTGTTGAATGAATGAGTGGGAGTCTCCCTGTATTTCGGTGCTTGGTGCTCTGGAACATGCTTTTTGCAGTTTTTCTACGTGGATCCAGGATTTACTATCCTTCCCTGTATATGCTGTTTTCTCAAAAATATTATTTTAATAATGATCATGGTACATGCTTGTTTGCTATTCTTTGCTGAATGTGATTTTATTCTTAAAAATACCATCTTAACAATGATCATGACACATGGAATTATATATTCTNCATGACATTTCCTTCTTTTCTCCTTTCTTATCGTTTATCTTGGAAATCTCGAAATACATCATTTTGATAAAAACCTGATAGGTACAGTCTTCCCAATTTCTTATGATTTTGAGTGGGAAGGGCCCTTACTGCCAGCCTGTACTGAAATCTAGTATGAATGAATGTTGATTTAACATTAACAAAAATAAAGGTATACATTTAGATATTTTAAATTCTACTAAATTCAGTATTTGAAGGTAATCTGCAAAGAGTAACACAAATTTCAAGGACACTTTAATTATTTAAAAACAGATCTCTTCATACCCCACCTAATCTCTGAATGGGGTGAAATTTCCCCAAATGCTATTAAAAGTCAGCTGCTAATGATTTTAAATACCACATTATTTCATTTAGTTTCCACAGAAACTGTGTGAAATGGATATTCTTTTTTTTTTTTTAATTTTATTGGGGAATTGGGGAA